TCTAAGCTGTAAGCGTCTGCTCCGTTGATCTCTAATTCTAGTGTATCTAAATAAATGTTGTATACAGGGATATATAAGACATAGATAGGGTAGGCAGGCTTAAATTATAGGTAGGCACAAGCTTTCTTTTTGCAGGACACTTATGTATTCATTAGTCTAACGGTAGGTATTAGGACACTGATTTTGCGCAACCCAGCCACCAGCAATAGGGCGGCAGAGACACTAGCCCCCTACAGTCCACATTGCATAGGTGTACCCCACGTTTGACGTCACCCCCGCGCGCCTTAATTGATTCTGGCTGGTTAGCTGTGAAGCTGCTGCTTTCTGTGCGTGCTAAATCTTGACAAGAAAGGCAGCAAGCACTGGTTTACCTTCCACCTTATGGATGTAGCCCTTCGGAAGCCTCGTGTTGCCCGCCCGGTCAATGGCTCTTCCCCTCGCAGACGGTTATTGGCCTACATGTACCTCGATGTATAGTCTCTAATGCTGCCCCACCTGTTTTCTAGCAGACGCTAACCTTATAATGGCTTAGCTGGAATATCTCTCGACCCCACCATCGTTAAGTCACCAGTACTTCTTCTTGCATGCTATAAGTGCATAACACAGCAACAACTAATTCGTTTTAATCGCTTGCTTGCTTGCTTCCTTCCTTCTACATTTATCTGATTTCTCCTCGCGTTCTCTCTTGCAGTAAGTGACGGATCTATTTTCTCCTTCTCCTTCTTCTTCTCCTTCTTTCACTCCCCCCTAACTTGTACTACTCTTCTAGGCTATTAACGTCGACCAAGACGATCCGTCCTATGCGGAAATCTCACGCAGCTCCGCAATACCCTCTCTACTGCTTGCCCAGCTTGTACCACGAATATACCTTACCTAATCGATATTTACACTCCCGTCGCCGCAATCAATGGCGCCATTGCTGCTTCTGCTATTCAATCTCTTGGAACATATTGCCCTGTCCCTTGTGTGTCTATCTTGACCTGCCCTTGGCAGTCCCCTTTTATCTACCAGGATGTGTGACCTTGCCGCACTGGCCGCCACTTCACGCGAGTGCCATGCATTTGCGAACCCATTGCTGCATACTGCAGCCATCGCCTTCGATCTCGTCGCATCTTAGGTGGTCCATCGCCAAGAAGCTTTTCTCCGTCAATATCCACTTCGCCTTTTTTGTGCCGTTGAAGCCTTTAAAGACCCTTAGCTAAGCGTGTCGGCAGGTGGGTATGGACGACCCCCCCTAGCATCTTCCGTCTCTCCGTCTCTCCGTCTTCTAACTGTCCGTCATACTAACCATTTCCTCCTTTCAGTCAGCCATCCTACGACCGTAAGCCTCTACTCTTATAAGCTGTCACCTCTGGACGTCTCGACCTTTTACACCGCCTGCTCCAACACGTCCCCGAGTCCCTCGTCTCTTTCCTCCTAGGCGTTCGCCTCGCAGTCCGCTGGCCCTGTCTTGACCAGCACCAAGCACACTTGCCGCCACCCCTTGACCCAGAGAGTCCCAGAGAAACCTACTTCGCTGCCCCACTCCACGCGGCTGCACGCGCAGGCCACGATAACTTGGTCGAGTACATTCTCGACCGCTGCGATAGTGTCAACCTCATTATCGACGCAGAGGCCCAGCTTCTTTGCCTGTGTCCATCGCCCTGCATTAATGCTGTGTCGCGCTAAAAACGACGTCGTTAGTCGCAGCAACACAACTAACGCCTTATATCACATCGTGACACTCTACATAAGTTCCGTACTACCCCTCTGCACGTGGCGCTTTCCCACGGCCATCATTCGACAGCAAAGATCCTAATGCTCCGCGGAGCCATTTGGGATCGCCCTTTTGAGTTCTCTCAGGGCGTCACAGGCCTTCACATCATGGCTGCAACTGGCGCTGCAGACCTTGTCGACTGGATTGCAGACTCGCCTAGCTCTGTACTTAGAAGGAATGGACCTCTACATGACTGGCCTGACATTGACGGTTTCTATAGTCTGCATTACGCCTGTCTGTCACTAGGAGTAGCTAATAAAGCTCACAGCAGCCAGCTATTTAGCATAGAATCCTTGCGCCTTATGTCCTCCCTGACTTGTCTTAGTACCATTATTAATACTAAAGACAAGAAAAAGGCTGCACACCGGCTTATGATAGAGACCTGTCGCCTTAGTTCTCTAGTTAACTGCTGGTGGGTAGATCCCAATAGGAGAGAATCAGAATAGGCGTGCTGTATCAAGAACTAGGAAAGAGACATGAAGGATTACAAGTTTACGCCTAAGGAGCCAGCAGCTTTTACTGCTGCTAAGGGTCTACACCTTATGGCCTATGTAATCCACTACTTGTATAATGAGCTGAGAGCAGGAGCTATATTTGCCTAGCTATCTTGACGATGTTAGATAGTCTGTAGTATACACAGTAGAAAGAATCTTATGAGAGGACAATATCTAATACTATGGCATGAGCTTGGTGATATAAGCAATGCAGGATTATGGACAGTAAAGCCTGATAGCCAAGGTGGCGGTAAATGAAGGATTAATCTGTTATATATGTTTAGTTCTTTTCCTGATCCAAGGTATTATAGCCCTTGTTGCCCTTCTTTCCTCTTCCTTCCTTCTATAGGACTCAACAGCCCATGACAATACGCCCGCCCATTTTTCGTCTTATTGTCCGCGACCTTCTTTTCTTCGTCTTGTTGCGTTCTTTTCTCCTAACCACTATAGTAGCCCACTCGTTTCTTCTTTTTACTTCTCCTCCTCTTCTTCTTCTTCCAGTCGTTTCTTGCGCCCGCCCCGACCATCACCATGTCTACCAACAACGACAACCAGCAGCAGCAGTAGTAACAGTAGTAGCAACAGTAGCAGCAACAGCAGCAGTAACAGCAGCAGCAACAGCAGCAACAGCCGCAACAGCCGCAGCGGCGACAGTTCCGGCCTCGTCCCCCCCCTCCCCTCGCCCCGATACGGTTATTCCCTGTTGAGTCGCTTGAACAGTCTACAGCTCCGGCGAGAGAGAGGCCTTGGGAATAGCTTGGATATGGTGTGAATTTAACACGTGGCTGACTTGGTGTGAACAGAACTTTGTCTAAACATTCCCCTACACAGCCACACCTACGAGTAGCTCGGTGCGGCAGTATGTCAACCAGACCGTGGTCCCCGGCCACGGCATCAACCCTGTCTCGGCCTCGCGCGCCTCCGCCACTCTCCTCACCAACCTCAAAGGAGAGGCCCGGTTCCTGGGTCGCGAGCTGCGTGCCGCCGCCGTCATTGACCCCGCCAACCTCTGGCCTAACGGTGACTGGTGCCCGCCTGCCTTCTTGCCCCTGGGCAACCTCCCTGAATCCCTCCTGAGGGAGATGCGGAACTTCTCTGCCCTCGTTGCCGACAGCAGGGGTCCCCAGTGGCTCCCCCGGCTGTGGAACCCAGCTCCTGGCCCCCATCCTGTTGGCGTGCTCTGCGCTGCTATGTAGGGCAACGTTTACCTTACCTGTGAGGTGATTTGGAACGCCTGTATCGACTACAGGCGCCTGCCTCCTGCCCCTCCTGCCCCTCCCCTCCCCCCTGCTCCTGCCCTAGTTGCGCCGATCCCAGCCTGGGTCTGCGCCTAGTTTGACGCCACCCTCCGCCAGTGGCGCCAGGTGCTGGAGACTATTGAGCAGTAGGAAGAGCGCCAAGAAGAAGAAGGAGGAGAAGGACCCTAAGGAGAAGAAGGCCAAGAAGGAGAAGGACTGTAAGGACAAGAAGAAGAATAAGAAGACGAAGAGGGAGATTAAGGTTGACAAAGATTAGACTAGGATGAGGAGGGCTCTGGCGCTAACTGGGACAACGAGCTCCTGAGCACTCCTGCCTGTTGTACCACAGGCCACCCAGAGACACTGATTCTGTCTGGGGGCCTTAACTTGAACTACCTGCGCTGTTTTTTGGGCCGTGTTTCCTTTCTTGGCTCTCTTTGGAGGCGTTAGGACCCCTTTGGTGGCGACGACGACGACGACGACGACGACGACGACGACGGCGGCTATGATCGCCTGCCCAGCCACGACGAAATCGACGAGCTGGACATGGACAACGAGGTCGACGACCCAGTCCCGCCTGCGCCTTGCCCTGCCCCTGCCACCTGTTGCTCCTGGCCTTACTAGTCTGTCGACGAGGCCATTGCTGCTGTCTCCAACGGTGCCAGCTCCTCTGCCTCTGCGCGTCTGCGCCGCGCTGCTGACTTCTTTACCCTAGCGCAGAGAAGCGCCATTGCCTAGGAGTTGCGCTAGGCCACTGAGGCCATTATGAACAGGTTTGCTGCCGCCAACGCCTAAGAGAGTGATAACGATCCTTTTTGTAGTTAGAGCTTAAGCTTGGGTGGGGGGATGGCGAGTGGCGGTTGGGGTGGCCGAGGAGGCTGAGGAGGCTGTGGTGGTTGTGGACGTCGCGGACGTTATGGCTAAACTGTGATTTCGCTTACCTTTGTGTGTTTTTTTGTGTTATCATCTTCTTCCCCCTTTGGAGATGAGAGTTGCTCCGCGTTGTTGCCGTCTGCCTGCGTAAAAAGAGCAGGATTAAGGCCCCCTATTATCTTCTCACCTGAGACTAGACATTTCTATGTGATTCTCTTTATCCTATAGTATACTTAATATGGCGCCTAGCTGGCCTATACTAGTGACTCGTCTTTTAAACACTATATCTCTAGATACACTATACATAAGGTTATAATAATAACTTACTACTCCTCTTTAGTAGTATTATAATTAATAGTTTAAGGACAAGTCTATATATAAAACAATATAGGACTTAGTAGCTACTTTCTCTAGTCCTTGTTTTTACGCTTCTATAAAAGCAAACGTAGCCTTAGCTATAGATTATGTCTCTTTTACTCTTTTAGTAATTTAAGTATACTATAGTAATAGCTGCAAGTCATTACTTATATTACCTTTTAACTACCCCTTACAAGAGTATTATACATCTTTAATTAAAGTCATTTGTTAAGAACCTAACTTTTCTAACTTAGCTTATTCTACTACAAGGGTTAAGGGGATACGCACATATAAATAGAGATACTATATAGCACTATATCCTATTAGTTAGTCTAGACTCTATAAAGATCCTTTACTAGGCTTTACTTCTATTAACAGTAGTCTATAACTTAACTTTAGTTAGACTTAGCTCTATTTAATACACTTTAATCTTAGATCCCTAACTCTAAACAGCTACTTAATCTACTTACTTAGCAGTAACTATAAGGGTTACTAATTAAAGTAAAGCTAGTCTGCTAAGGTATTTAAACGCTATTATATATCTATCTGTGCATAGTATTAATTACTTACGTCTAAAGAGGATAGGTCAGACAGACATTGGAAGTCACTAGGTTAGCAGCCAGGCTTAATGCCCAGGTTCTCATCACCATGACACTTTATCAGGCTCAAGAGCAGCATACATCACCATCCACTTCCTGGGACATGGGGGTCATGGGCGCCAATTCCTCCAATCACACACGCATTTTGTCTTGTTATCAATGTTTACTTGTTTACTTATTTACTTCAACGTCAGCCCAGCTATAGCGCCCCGCTGCCTCACCTCCCATAGGTACTTGTTCATAGAAAAGTGGACATTGAATCTGGTCAGAGGATACGGTGGTTGGTTGGGTTACATAGTCTTTCTGTGTGTTTCTGTGCTTCCTTGCTCTTGCCCTTATTTCTCCCAGTGGTGCCTAATTTCCTCTTCTCTCATCCTAATAGTACTATGGTGCGTTATCAACTTCTGTCGGACAGCCAGAAATGATATAATAAACTACTCTAGTCTCTTCCCAAGAACCTGCGGTTGCGCTTGTCATACTCACGCCACTTCTCGCCTGACATCCTCCTGGGGCCCAGAGTTGCCTGACCAGTCGGAGTAAAAGAAAAGGTCTGCCGCCCGCCCCTATGTGATGTCGCCTCCTCCATTGCCCCGTGCCCCGCGCACCGCGAACAAGACCCATCCAGAGTACCTTGCGCATCGCGTGTGGGTGCCCCTTATGCTTCCACCTGGAATTGTAAGTCTGCTACTCTGATTGTTCTTTCTATACCATGCCCATCTACCTAGCAGCTAGATTCACCCCAGGTGCTTGATTACGTAGTGACACCCGCCTCACAGGACGAGCCGGCCGAACGTGCCCGCCTGCAAGACATACACAACACCTTTCTAGAAGCATTCGAGAATGGCATGCTCAAGCTGCCTGGATCTATTTCGTCGTCATCTGTCAACAATCTGTACGTCGTCCGTGAGACTCCCATCATTGCCCAGAGAGGACGAGGATAGGCAGTGTGCTGACCTGGGCGGAGGACCACCCGGCCCACAGAGACTCCGAGGCAGCCAATGACTTGTTTAGTTTGCAGTCCTGTGTTCGCCGACATCAAGAGTGATTATAGTTATTCTTCTTTTACCCCTGACCTTTCCCTCTACCCCTCCATTACTCATGGGCTATTAATAACTCCACTCTATCCCTACCTTGTCTGTCGTTGCACATTTTAGCTGAGATATTGACGTCTAGAAGACGCACGCCCATCGACTTTGTTACAGCAAACCAATCCAAGGCCTCAGCTGATGGCACAGCTGCCACGGTCCATCTCCTGACGATGCAGAGCAATATGGCCGACCTGACATGGCTGTACCGAGAGGCCTATCTGACCCTCCAGCCAGGGGGCTGGTTGATGCAGCTCCAGGCCCAAGCTTACGTAATGCAAACGCCGGCATCATCGGCTCCGGCGTCGCACACGCAGCCGTCAACAGATCCAGATCCGGTCAAAGCTGCACTGCAGAACCAAGGGTTCACCAACCTCAGCCTGGGTGTCTCACGCCAAGTATCTATCCCCGGTAGCGTCAGTGCCAAAGTCCCAAAAACCGCCGGATTCTACGAGATGTAAGCAGCCTCCTCTCTCCGCACCGGGAAACCGGCCGCACCACCTTTCTCCTTTGTAAGAACACATTTGAGCCAGATTTCTGATCAGCACAGGCGTATCTGGACGGCCCAGAAGCCTCGGATATACGGAAACCAACAGGGGGGGACTGCCTAGCTCCGTCGCTCACCTGGCAGCGACGATGGCCGAAATGGAAATCGATAGCGGGGTCTTCCATGAACTTCTCACGCGCCTCGCGGGCGCCTGGAAGAATGACCGACTTGCAATCCAGGGATTTCAGGCACCATCTTCAACGGCGACTCATCCATCCTCGTCAAGATAGGAAAGTTGGGGGAGGCGACCCATGTGCAGCGGGGCGTAATCAGGATGAGGCTGGAAATAGATGGACAGACAGATAGACAGGTGAACAACAGGAAATACAGTCAATGTTTAACCCCAGCGTCATGGATGAACCAGGAAGCTATGCACCCTCCCTAGACCCAGTCCTTATGTTGACCAGTCTCCTCAAGACCTAGGACTGGTAAATGTATTTCTAACACCTTACTCTATGGATATCATCGCGCTGAAGACCCTGGCTCTCCTCTAATAAATACACTCTGAACTATTGACGCATTGGTTCGGGGCCGCATGCTAGTCTGGTATGTTATTGTTGCACGAAGTTTATGTTATTAACTAGACCACCCTTTCTCCACTCGTACTATACTGCTGTCTTTTAGTCAAACCTGAACTTCCTTAAGAAAAGTAATCCAGGAGATACACAGCGCTGTCAAGAAGATTACAACGTCTCACCATCTCAGCAACGCCATATACCTCACATGTCAGAACCTGGACTACTGCGTGGATCATGCTAACTAGACCTTGTTAGTATACGCCAAGGCCACTCGCCGCAAAGTCGTCTTAGCCTACAGAGACCTAAAGAGCTGGCTTCTAAGGCTAAAATATATATATCCTGCTATATATGTACCTTGCTTACTACATTTAGGCGCAAGCGGGTCAGCATGTAACTACACTACGTTAGCCTATAATATAATCTTTCCCCTTTCTTCCTAGCCAGGCTCTTTAATAACACTAACTATTAGTATTATAGGCTAGTTAACTAGAGGTAGTAAATAGCATATATTACTATTAATATAAAAGAGGTATAATAGTTAATAAAGAAGAAGTTTAAAGTTAGTAGTTACTATAGATATTTATAGAGGTGTAAGTAAGTAAGCTACTAAAGTTAGTTATATAACCTTAGATTAGCTTTACCCTTTACTAGTAATAAATATTTTAACACTAGTAACTTTCTTATATAAAAAGAAATAGCTAAATAACTTAAATATTACCTAGTAACTAAAAAGCCTAGAAATATAATAAAAATTAAAGGCTTAAAAGTATTATAATACTTTTAGTTTATATAACTTATTATATAGTATATAAAACTTATTTTTTTATTTTAATCTTTATAGTTTTATTACTAACTAGCTATTTTAATACCTTATTTAGTAATAACTTTATAAATCTATTAGTAAAATTATTATTACCTTAAATCTATTAGACTTTATAGACTTTATATTACTTATATAACTACTATAAGGCTATAATATTTATTATAAGCCTTTTTTTATTTATTATACTTAACTTAATAAGGTACTTATAAAGTAAGTATAAGTTAATATAAAAGATAATTAGTATATAAAGAATCTTAAGGTAGTTAGTTATTATTACTAAGATTATACTAATTATATAGGTAATATTAGTGTTAGTAACTATACTATAGATCCTTAAGGCTAATATACTTTAGGTTACTTATTTATACTTTATTAAGCTAAAGTAAATAATGTTACTAGTTACTATAAAGCTATTACTATTATTATTACTTATAATAGCTTTATTTACTAGAATAATAATAAACTTTAGTTATAAAGTTAAATCTTTATTATTTATAAATAACTTATTAATAAAGATAAAAAGTTTTATAATATTAAGGTTAAGTAAGTAAAATAATAGTCCTTATTTAAGGTTATTTATTTACTAGATAATATACTAGTTAAGTACCTAAATCTTCTTTATACTAAGTAATTAGTATTATACTATAATAAAGTAGTTAAAGTAAGCTTTAGGTTAATAGACTAATATAATATATATACTATAGACTTATTATATAATATATTACTTTATTACTTATAAGGACTTTTTATTAATAGGCTAAAGTTTTTTACTTTAGCCTTTTTAGTAAAATAGTAGCTTACTATTAGTAGTTAATAAGACTATACTACTATTAAATATAAAGAGGTTATTACTAGTAAAGATCTACTTCTCTTTAGCTATAAATATAGCCTTAGTAAGCTTATTAGCCTTATAAGTAAAAAAAGTTCTATTTAAAAAGGTAATAGTATTATTAATCTATATATTAATAACCTTAAAGTCTAGGCTTTTTAGTAATATAATTAGTAAGTATAAGTTATATATTAAAGTAACTATCTAGAGTATTTCTTTATAGTAGTAACTATATATTACTTACTAGTAAGTGCCTACCTCTATAATACTATATAGAGGCTTTACTACTTATATAATAGTCCTCTTTAGGTAAAGGTACTAAATCTATATAGGAAGATAAATAAAGATAATATAGTTTAATAAAGTAATTAACTAGGTATACACCTAGGTAATATTATATAACTAAAGTAAAAAACTATTATTATATAATAATAATAAGGTAATAGTAAAAATAAAGTACTAGTTAGCCTATTAAATAGTAAGTAATTATATAAGAATAGCCTCTTTACTATTATCTATATACCCTTAGATTATAAAGTATAATTTTTATAAGGCTTTTTATTTTTATTTTTAACTTTATTAACTATTTATAATTTAAATATATATATATTACTATACTTACCTTTATTATAGTAAATAAATTAAAAAACGCTATAAGTAATAAGCCTTTAAATTTTAGCTATATTAGACTACTTAAAAGGTTTTCTTATAGTTATAATAATACCTTTTTTATATAGGTTAATTACTAATAGCTAGTTAGCCTTCTCTTTACTTATAATATATATAGTAGCTATTACTATAGGGAAGTAGTTATATAAAGCCCTATTTTATTAGTAAAGTTAGTATACTTTTATAAGTAGCTAACTTTTTATTTAGGCTATTATTATTATAGGCTAAAGTTAACTATAATAGTATTATATACTTCTTTTATAGGCATAGGTTAGGTTTCTTTACTACTATTATTATTTACTTTTATAGGTAAGTAATTTCTAGCCTTTTTAAAATATAACTTAATAATAGTTAACTAAAAAGTCTTTAGGCTATAAAGTAAATTAATAGTAGAGTTAGTACTAATATTAGTAATAAAGTAAAAAGGTCCTTATTAACCTCTCTTTTTATACTATATATAGACCTTAGATTAAAAAAAAAGTACTATAGTTATAAAGGTATCTAGGCTATTATATGTTACTATTACTTTATTAACTTACTTTCTTATATAGATTTAGTGTATAGCCTTTATTATCTTCTTTACTACTTTAGCCTTTTTAGTTAAAGTAGGTAAAAGTAATAATAAGTTCAAGACTTATAGGTAAACACTAAAGACTAATAGTATAAGTATAAGGCTATTTAGACTAGTAGTATTATTAACTACTTTAATAGCTAGCTAAAAGGTTATCTTTAGCTTAGTCCTTTTACTATATAAAATATTATAATATATATATATAGTAAGTAAGCTAATATAGTAAGTAAGCTACTTTTTTTACCTTTTTATTATTTTAATAAGTTAATTTAACTAGATTATATAAAATTAATTAAAAATATATATTACCTTATCCTTTATTATTATCCTAAACTACCTTATAGGTTTATATATTATATCTAGTCTTTCTATAGTTACTATATTATTATATAAGTAGTTTACTACTCTCTATATAACCCCCTTTTAGGATATTTCCTTATCTCTAGCTTTAACTACTTCTTTTTTTCCTTATAGTGCCTTTACTTTAGCTATATTAAGTAAGCCTCTAAGATATAGTTAGGTCTCTTTAGCTCTCTAGTGCTTACTAAGTACTTTTATCCTTATATAAAGTTAATAGTTTTTTACCTTAATAATAATAAGTTAATATACTAACTTACTAATACTTTTTAACTAGAAGTTAATTACCTTATATATTAGTGTTAGTAAACTTCCTTAATAGTCCTTAATCCTTTTTTTTAATAAAGTAAAGCTTTATATGCCTTTAATTACTATTATTAGTGTCTTTAGGTCCTATAAGCCTAAGTTAGTTAGATATAAGTTAACTAGTGTTAGTATCTTTAGCTTAAAATTTAGGTAAAAAATATTAACTTTAGGATTAAAAAGTATAAGACTAGCCTATTAAAAACCTACTTATATATTTATTTTACTTGTTAAAGTAAAGAGTACTACTTTAAAGGTAAAAAAGAAGTTATTTTTAGTAATATATATAATTTATATTTATATTAGTTTCTTAATTTCTTTACTATATAAGTACTTTAAAAAGCTAAAATAGTTAATATTAAGAGGCTAAAGCTTATATAATAAGTAAAAAAGTATATATAAAAAATAATTCTTTCTTCTTTATAGTAGTTATTAAATTTAGTTAATTTATAGCTATTATAGTTATCTAGGATTAAAAGGTAATAAGTACCCTTTATATAAGACTTTATATACTAATTAAAGTACTTTAGTTAATCTAGGCTAATCTTATTTATAGTTTATTTATTTTTACTTAGGTAGATACACTATATAGCTAGAAATTTACTATTAAAGTATTATAATAAAAAGTAATATTTACCTTTTATAATAATATATAAAGGTATTACTTAGCTATCTATATATATACCTTAAATAATAAAAACCTATTTATAATTACTAAGTTACTTTATATATAGCCTTCTATATTAGTTAGAAGTTATAATAACCTTTATATATAATAGTATTCTTATTAAGAACCTAGTCTTATTAAAATTATAGATATTATAATCTTATATCTTATACTTTATAATTATATTTTATATAAGTATAAACTAGCCTTATATAATTATAGAATCCTTAGCTAAGGCCCTCTAATAGTTAATTTAATATTAAAATTATATTTTTAATTAAGGTTATTACTATATAAAGTTCTTTACTTATTAAGGTCTAATATATATCTTATTATATATATTAAAAAGTTAATTAGCTATTTCTTATATATCTTCTTATTACAAAGGAAACTCTTAATTAATTAGGTTAATAACCCTTTTAAGAATTACCTCCTCTTCTAAAATAGTTATCTTTATTAAATTAATATGTCTTTTAGGTTATATAATATATCTAGTGCGTTAGTGTTAAAGTGTTATTTAAGGGACCTTATAAGTAGAGGCTACTTTTTATATAGACATTTTTAGGTCTTTTTTAATAGCTTAGAGGGCAAAGATAATATAGCTTTTA